GCAGCAGCAGCAGCACACCACCACCACCAGCAGCAGCAGCAGCAGCAGCACGCAGCAGCAGCACACCACCACCACCAGCAGCAGCAGCAGCAGCAGCAGCAGCAGCAGCAGCAGCAGCAGCAGCAGCAGCAGCAGGGAGAGAGCCGACGAACAAAACATCATTGATTTCGGGCGTTATTGACTTTGTCGACCCAGTTCTCGGACTGAACTGGCTAATTCAGGGGCAGCAGCTAGGCGGTGGTGTGTGGCCGCCGGCAAGGATGGATGCATGATTCCCAGGCTTACGAACAGCACGTACACATACCAACGATGCTGGTCCCACCCTGCACTGACTCCCTCCATGCTTAACCCACCACGCGGCCGACCACCCTCAAGGGGGACCCCCCAACACTGCAATCATACTGCTCGTTATAATCCGAAAATGCTTCACGCCTAACTCACGTCACACCGACCCCCCCCCCCGCCATCCTCTTCTGTACATAACAAACGTCCTGCATCACACGCCACACTGCGCACGCGCATCCTAGACTGAAAGTCTTCATCACCCTGTCACCGCCACCCTGTCACCGCTCCCTCTATCCTGCTCTCACGCCAGTTCCGGCGACGTCTTCCCCTATTAGGAGGTAACCGGAAGTTGCGCCGCGTTTAATCACGTGACTCTCCGGACTTCCGGCGAGAGAATGCCGAGGTGGCGCTGGTGTTGCCGGCGCCTGTATTCCACGGAAATTGATCGGGAGCAGGAAAACGCATTAGTCGCTAACGTAATTTGCTTCCTGATGGGGGAATTGCTATGCGAGCGTGTGGTACACACCGGCGCCACGGGTTCGCTGAAAACATGGTATATTTCCACCGCATCGCACAAACACTTAGAGCAGCGAGGCTATATAGAGAGAGAGTGAGAACGACACGAGGTAACGAAAACAAGAGGAAAGATGGAGAGATCGAGAAATGGATGAACGAGAGAGATGGGGAGAGCCGAAGAGGGCAAGAGACAGGCAGGAAACAAAAGCAGGCGAGAGCAAAATTGAGAAAGCGATAGGGCGAGAGCGAAGGCGCATGCGAAGGAAGAAAAAAGAGATAGAGAAAGAGAAAGAGAGAGAAGAGAGGGATGGGAAGAGAAGACGAGAACTCCCTGGAGAGCTGCATCATTTGCACGACACAGTGTCTGCATAAAGCCACTGCTCAGGGTGTCAATTGACTTTTTTCCCTTCTGCACGACTACACGGCCGCTCAGCACTGGCGCTCATAGATCTGTTCATCTTAAATTATGCATTACATCGATGCCGCATAATGACACATCGGCGCCTTCACAAAGACACACTATGCGCGCGGCGGCGACATCAAAGCAGGAGATTTAAACTGCCGACGAAACTGTCAGCGCGTTGCCACAGATGGCCGTTTGTGATTGCATCCGTAATCAGGCCTGGCCGCGGCGGCAGCGCCCGTAACAACTCGATATTAAAACTTGTTTGATGCGCTGTATAAAACCCGACGCAATTTCCGCCGAGCTCGTCTCTATGTAAACTTAACACGGCCAAGCCCTGCGCAGCTGCTGGGTTTGTGTCTATATATATATATATATATATATATATATATATATATATATATATATTCAACGTCTACACTCGGACCATAATACAAAGCATGATCCGCCATATTTATGTCTCCCGTGACGTCACGCGATGAAGTAGCATCCGATCGGCAGTCTATCGGCGGATGGCGGTTTTATTTTCACGCCATAATCCTATATTCGCGCCAACGTTAAGTAGACGGTTTTGATTGACGCGGCAAGAGCTCAAAGCGTCGCCGGACGATGAATATTCAGCGCTGTGCACTGTTGAGAGAGAAAAACGGTCTGGGGAAATTACGCAGGCGAACAACGCTGGGGAGTACGCTCTATAGCCGTTGGAGTATAAAGGCTGTGTAGGCCTACGTATACACACGCTGCGTGCGTGCGTCGTGGTAGCGCGACGTACGCGTGAGGTTTGGAGCTATTTCGACGGTGAACGCCGACTCGCATGTTAAACAGTACTTACGGTTGTTATTAATTAACAATTATTACAAAAATTATTACAAAAATTGGCGGACCCGTGAATTGATTAGGAGGGGTGGGGGCATAATTAGAGGACAAACGAAGGGGAAAATCGTTTAACACTAACCTAGTGTCTCGCCATAGTTTGGGCTGCATTCAATGTCCAGCCGTTGCTATATATGCTTTGTAGTGATCATATTGAACCACTTCAGGCAAAAAGCAAACAATTATATACCTATATATACTGTCTCGCCACAGGCTAAACTGATTCAAAGTCGAGTGTACATGCCCGCGCTCGTTCTCTCACTTCTCCCTTCGTTTTTTCCCTCCTCATAGTAACCCTAACCCTAAACCTACCGCTATCCCTAACCGCAACCCTAACCCTAGCGTTAATCCAAACCATGTTTTGTCATGGTTGTGTTGGTGTTGTGCAGATGCTCTGTCATGACTGTTTCAAGACGTGTGTACGTACGCGCGTCCATTTGCGTGTGGGTTAGCTCTAGTACTATAGCCCGCGTACATTGACTGCCGCAGGGCTATAGCACATTGTCGGCTGGAAATACCAACTACGACCTGTTACCACCTGTCCCCATGAAAAATGGATCGCAAAACGCAAAGTTATCGGGCTTTTTAACTCTTATTTATCTACATGGACATCTCACCTATCTTTTTGAACACTTTCAACAACTTTACACCATGTATTTGTCCTTTTATTCCACAAAGTAAGCACTACTGGCATTTCATTTTGAAACGAAGTGGCGTACGCACGCGTGACGTCACCGGATATGTACGCAAAACACATGGCAGCTATGGGGCATGTATATACAATACCGGTGACGTCACGCGTGCGTGCGCTACTTCGTTTCAAAATAAAATGCCAGTAGTGCTTACTTTGTGGAATAAAAGGACAAATACATAGTGTAAAGTTGTTGAAAGTGTTCAAAAAGATAGGTGAGATGTCCATGTAGATAAATAAGTGTTAAAAAGCCCGATAACTTGCGTTTTGCGATCCATTTTTTATGGGGACAGGTGGTAACAGGTCGTAGTTGGTATTTCCAGCCGGCAATGTGCTATAGCCCTGCGGCATTCAATGTACGCGGGCTATAGTACTAGAGCTAAGCAGCAGTCACAACAGGAAAGCGTTATTCGACTGTTTACTAATCTAACAATTTACGAATTATGGGCACGGCGAACACGGCATTACTCACGGGTCGAATGACTTCATTCATATACGCTACTCTCGTCTGTCACACGCTCGAAGCGCTGAAAACTGCATGGTTAGGTAGCGTGTCGTCGACATTGTGCGAGTGAAATTCTAATCTAACGTGATACCTCGTAGAGTTTATAATGAAACTGCAGTTCCTGCATGCCTGTGGCGCGTCAAGTGATTGTACACAGCGAGACACGATCCCCGCGCAGTCTCCCTGTTGCTATGGCAGTGCCGCGAAGATTTTTCGCGAAAGAAATCGTAGAGAATTATTTATGATCTCGTGGCCACGAAACTACAGTATCATGATATAGCATCGCGAAATCGCAGTAATCATCTCGTGGCCACGGAATAACTTCACATAACGGATGCGATGTAATTTTTTCCCGCTTTTGACGCGCGTTTACGCGCGCGCTTCGCGTTAACGACTTATTTACATCGAGTTTTCCGTCGTGCCTCGCGCTCCGCGAGTGCTATCCAATCTAGCCGTAGCTGCTCATGCACCCGCCGGCTATAAATATTATAAAGAAATCTCATTATCGCTAAAGATCTCCGATGGGGCTTCCCACCGGCGACGCAAAACATCAACTCGACCTAATGAAACATCAAAGCTCGCCGCTATGCATAATGAATACTCTATTTTGCGCTCATCAAACATTAAAGAGACAAGAACATCAAAAATTTAAAGATTATAACGGCATGAAATATACATGTATTATAGCCGTGAGTTGGGCTCAAGCACTCTCAGCGACGCTGCTTCTATCGACTGCACGAACGGATACTGGCTTGCTTGACCATGAACGCTTCCTTCTTACTTCCCATCTTTCTCGCTTTGCCTGCGTATCTCTACCCCGCTCCATTCCGCTGCCGCTCTCTCACCATCTCTTTCTCGGTCTCTCGCGCTCTCTCACCCTCTCTTTCTCGGTCTCTCAATATACAATATTTAACGTATTTTCCTATACATTTACCATTTACAAACATTAAAGAGAATATGCAGGGGCACACCGGGAACACACGCGCACGCGAACAAACACGCACGCACGCGCGGAGATAGCAAAGCGTTCCCGTTAGCATTCATAAATCTTCGTAAGACAAGAGTATCAACACACTGAGAAACACGAACTGCGGCTCGCACGGCGTCAGTTGTCGCACGGGGTGGCTCTGTGGCTCTCTCTACACGCGCGACCAGGTCCGACGCTCTGTCTCTCTCTACACGCGCGACCAGGTCTGGTGCGGCGCGAGGTACTTTTCTCCGCGATACGTCGTCGTCATCTGCACGACGGCCGGCTGCTGATGGTAGGTCAGCTTCTTACGTCGGCCCGACCGTCGCCACGGCCGACCGCAGAAGTCGCACCACGAGTGCCACGTCTTACTCGTCCACACCCACATGCCGCTCGAGATGCCGACGATGAGCGACATGCAGATCTTCAGCATGAAGACGGCGATGTTCGGAATGCTCGCCTCCAGCTCGTCGCTGCAGTCGTCGTGGCGACAGCGGGCGGCGAGCGCGCGCGCGATCCAGCCGTCCAGCTGGCAGTACTGGTAGACGAAGCAGCCGAGCACGCACGTCGCCGGCACGAGGTACATCACCGAGAATATGCCGATCTTCACCATCAGCTTCTCGAGCTTGTCGATGTTCGTGCCGTCGCGCTTCATCGTCTTGCGGATGCGCACGAGAGCGAAGAAGCCGTACAGGATGAAGACGACGCCTAGAGCGTTGTAGGTGGCGAGCGGCGCGATGACGAAGCCGAGCAGCGCGCCGGCGTCCATGTTGCCCGTGAAGCACATCGCCGTGAACTCGTCGGCGTCGACGCGCCGCATGATGAGTATGACCATCGTCTTGACGGCGGGGATGCCCCACGCGGCGAGGTGAAAGTAACTGCTCATCGCCTCGATCGCCTCGTGTCCCCACTTGCGGCACGCGGCGAGGAACCACGTCAGTGTGAGGATCACCCACCAGATGGAGCTCGCCATGCCGAAGAAGTAGAGGATGAGGAAGACGATGATGCAGCCGGTACTCTCGAGTCCCTCCCGGATGAGAAACGTCACGGGCTCCTTGTCCTGTGTGTACGTCGTGTCGCACGAGATCGCGTCGGCGCCGGCGATCAGCCGGATGAGGAAGGCGACGCTGTAGATGTTGTAGCACATCGCGAGGAAGTAGATGGGTCGCTCGGGGTACTTGAAGCGTCCCATGTCGATCCAGAACGTGAGCACGGTGAAGGCGGTCGCCACGAAGCAGAACGACGCCCAGACGGCGATCCAGATCTCGACGAAGTTCTTGTCGGCGCGTCGGAAGAAAACGTCGACGCGCGCCTCGCCCTTCGACGTCGGCAGCCGACACATCGGCGAGCAGGCGCCGAGCTGGTCGCGCTTGTCCTTCAGCTTGTTCACGTAGACGAATCTATCCGACGCGCACTGCGGCGAGGCGCGAGTTGTGGCCAACGCCGACTTAGAGTTGACGCTCGGGTTGTACAGGAAAAACGGGATGTCGGGAGAATCCATCGCCTTGTCGAAGTCGAACACCCGGTCGGGAGTGTCGCTGTGTTCCTCGGGAAGATCGGGGAACTCCATGCAGAGTCCATTCTTCTCCGGAAGGCGAGTGCAGTTCAGGGATGGCGGCCACGGGAAGCTGAAGCGCTGCAGCACGGGAAGACACTTAGCCTTCACCTCCTCGCACATGCTGCGACACGCCGGTATCGGGATGTCGACCTGCTCGGTGCACATGGGCGCGTAGAGCGAGCACAGGAAGAACTTGAGATGCCTCGAGCAGCCGATCTCGACGAGCGTGACGAACTCGTGCACCTGTATCGCCGCCTCCTCCTGATCGGTGTGGCCCATCAGGTTCGGCATGCGCGTCATGTTGTACGGCATGTTCTCGCACATCGGAATCCGTATCCGCTCGCACCGGCTCTTCTTCGTCGAGTCTAACGCGCCGGCCGGACCGCTCCAGAGTAGAGCCGAGAGAAGCACGAGGAGGAGGCGTGCTCCTGCCATCCTTGTAGCTTCCTTCTTCTTCTGCTTCTCACGCGAAGACAGTGAGCATCAAGTCACTGATGCGCGCGCGCGTGTGTGCAAACCGCTGTGTCGCTAGCTGCTTGCAGCACCGCCACCGCTTGTTCCTTCCAACGCTGTCACTGCTATACGTCGCAACACTGACGCCGCTACACTGCTGCTGCTTGCTGCTTGCTACACTGCCGCCTACAAACAGCAGCCGCATACTAAAGCCTCGCGGATCGCTTACCACGCCAATATTGCCGGCGAGCGCTTGTAGCGCCGCCGCACGCACACGCACATGCGCGCGCATTGATACACCATGCTAATCATAGTGATCGACGGACGGCGGCAGCGGCGAGCGTGCGAGTGTCCGCTCTGCAAAACCATCACGTGATCACACGCACGTGCGCTTGTTAATTTTTTCGCGAGAGACGGCGGCTCGCAGACGAATCGAGCCGAGATCGCCGAAAGCCCGAACTACTTTTCCTCGGCGCAGCGATCGCCGTTGCTGTGTACGCGTGTAAGCGATAGCAGGCGGCATGCTTAGCGCAGTTCGTTTGATGTCGCCGCCGCGGCCGATACGACTGTCAGTCACGTTACCACACTAGTAATTTGAGCGAAACGGGGGGTTCGCGGTGGCCACGCCCTCCCAGGGGATATGCGCGCACGTATTCTCATCCCCCTCGCGCTCTTTGTTTTCGGGGATGGGCTCACCACCTCGCGCGCCGGCCGTGTGCGCGCATACATTTGCGACCAAGCGGCGGGAAGATGGATGACACATGACTGATGACTTTATGACAGGTGGCGCTGATGACAATCGGTCTTTCAAAGCGTACGTACCCGCGCGGCCCGACGTAACTGCGCGCGCGCGGTCGTCAGCGAATCTACAAGCACGCCGTTAATAACTGCTATCTGTCGCAGCCGACGTCGGCGCCCACTGAAGGGAATCGACCCGCGCGCACGAGCAGCCATATATCAAACCTGAACGTAATTACACGAGCAGGTATAATCCACGAACACACGTTGCCTTATCCGGCAAGATGGCCGATTTAATCTACGAGCACACATTGCCTTATCTGGCAAGATTCGCGGTTGTAGCGCCGAGCACGCATCGCCTTATCCGGCAAGGTATACGAACAGCACGGCGACCCTGTGTGATATCATGACAGCGGGAACACTGGAATATCTGAAATCTCTCATTCATGTCCTCATTCATCTCACCTTTCCTGATAACAGCGACACCGACACTAGACTACTATAATAGCCTACTATGTACTCTCTTGTGCTCGCCTTGCTATTTTACTACTACTACTACTACTTTTTTCTTTATTTTTTTTTCTCTTACCGGTTACTTTGTTTGCCTGCCAGTAGGTGCATGCAGCGCATCTGCAGAATACACAAAAAACGCGGGGCGCCGATGAGTCATTTAGAGGTAAATCGCGCGGCCTGTGCGACGGAGTGTAACAATTGCGTGACGCTGCGGCGGCATCACGTTACGGGCCGCGTCTCTTTATGTGAAAACGCGACAAAACGGCCAATAATAATCATAATAACGGTCGTTGTAACTCGCGCTACAAAGGCGACGGGCGCGGGTTGGCTCTTAACAGCGCGCATTCCAAGACCCTGACGACACGGCCATCGGACGGTCGACAATCACATAGCGCGAGAGATGGCTCTTTTAATTTGCGACTCGTTAATTTGTTTAACGCGCGCGCGCGCCGCTGCTTTGTGTGAAGCGGGACGTCGCACAAAGATGTCGGCGTTTTCACACTCGGTCGCCGCGAGCCACGTGCGTGCGTGCGGGCGGACGCGAGTGTGCGCACACATGTGTGCGCGCGAGTATATGCGGGCGGGCGGGCGTGCGTGCGTGTGTGTGTGTGAGCGTGCGTGTTGGCGGGCGGGCGACGTTGAGTCTGTGCACACACATGTGTGCTTGCATTCGTCCGTGCTTGTATTGCGCGCGTCATCGTGCCCACAGGTATACACATTACAGCTCGATGCGCGGCCGGCAAGGCAACTACGTACACGCTCATTCTCGCCCTCATTCTTATGGTGATGATACCGGGCCGAAAATGTGGCCGTCGTAAACATTATGCTTGCCTCGGCAAAGCCTTCTTGACTTCGGGAGCGGTGGAGATTCCACGGAGCATTGTGCTAAGGGGCGCTAGCAACTATCCGCTTTGTGTTTCAATTACGGCGATACGATTGGCGGCGATAATAGTGACGGCGCAGGGGGATTGTCGGAGCAAACTCGTCTGGGGCCCTCGATGATAAACCCGTTGCCCGCTGCAGCTGGCAGGTGACCGGTCGCCTGTAGAAATTCGGTGAATTCGAGCGCGCGGCTTATTTTTATCGCTTTCTTTCTGTTTGTGGCTCTCTCTCTCTCTCTCTCTCTCTCTCTCTCTCTCTCTCTCTCTCTCTCTCTCTCTCTCTCTCTCTCTCTCTCTCTCTCTC